TCCAAACCCAGCCCCTGTACACAAAATTCCAATGGAAATGATAACTCTTGTGGACTATTTCCCAAGGTATTAAGATACTTGATTAGGCATTAACGCTATTTATTTTAAATAATTAATAGTTTCACAAGGATTAAAATCTCCAGAATAATTTCCCTACTGATTTACAATAACCAAAATGTTTTAGCAGTGGACAGGCATGTCTTTCACTTCACTTTGCTAGCTTTTGAACAAACATTTATTGTGACCAGTACATACAGCTCTGAGTTCCTTTTGTTTCACTTAAAAATCAATCTAGAGTAGTTATAACTGGGTTCCTTTGTTTTTTTTTTTCCTTCCTTCCACATTGGTCTCCCTTCACTACTACAGTACCTGTGAGCCAATGAGCATTTGATAATGTTTGGTGACCTCTTGTAATATTAGTTCAGTCTTAGAAACTTTGATTTTCTGCAACTTGGCATATGAAGACCCAAAGAGAATTCCTTTGCTTGCTTTTTGACAGAATGCAGAATACTTCAAGACAACCTGAAAGCAGTGGGTTTTTTTAGGTTATCAAAAGTGGCAGCATCCGGATCATAAAAAAGAACAAACTGTTCAAATAGTCTTCCCTTTCAGTGTTTCTCTGTACTGTGTGCTGGTGGAAGATCTTTGGTGATAACAATAGTCAGGATGAGCCAAGTGTTCCACATGCATTAAGGTTTCCACATTCCTAACATAGTTAGATGTCTTTTCCAAACAATTTACATGATTCTGAAAAGTCACCAGCTAGACCTGGTAATATGAGCATTTGAATGTTATTTTTCTTTTCCGTTCACTCTATGCTGATTCTTGGGTGGAGAACTGAGCCATAGCCCAGAAATGGACTTATACCAGTGTGAGGGTGCCCCTACCTTGTCACTAGAATGAGAAGAGAAGCCAGGGGTACCTGCCCCCTTTCCCTTCCTTCACCCCCGCCCCCTTTGCCTCTCTTACATTTTGTGTGTTTGCCAGTGCAGCCTGTCTCTGGTAGAGGTCCATCCCCCCTCGTTTCCTGGTTATGTAGTTCTGACTTCTCTCCCCACTTCTCTCTTCCTTCCTCTGTTTCATCTCTCTCTTCTGCCTGTGCTCCAGCGGTAATGCCACATGCAAATTCACAGGCAGAGAAGCCTAAAGTAAGATGGTCACTGGGTCCAGGTGCAGGCAGAGCTTGATGACACAGGAAGAGAAAGTAGGGGGTCATGTGACCTAGGGAGCCCTATATAAACCCAAGTCTCAAGTCAAGGTAGGCAGTCTGACTGTGGGAGTCATTGAGGATGCAGCCTGTTCTGTGATGAATAAGGACTTGAGTTCAGACTGTGGTGAGAGGATGCAGGTGGTAGCCCCAAGTGAAGGGAAGCTGGGCAGTTGCATGGGAAGCAAGCTAAGTACCCCAGGCACTCTTTGTTTTGTTTTCCTTTCTACTTGGAGCCTGTCCCCAAGGGGTGTAGCAAACCCCATGTGGGATGTTCCTTTGAACTGGGACTGGTGCTTGCATTTTGTGACTTGCATTTTCCCCAGAGGGCTGAGTTGTGGCTTTAGGGGAGGCCACTGAAAAGGGGTGACTGGGGACACCTCAGACTTGAAACTGCACTGAATGGACAGAGGATAAAGACTAGAGAGTGTTCTGTGGCCCTTTGGAAGCTGAGCTTGCCTTACAGGACTCTAAGGCAGGAGGTGGCAGGGAAAAAACAGGACTTAAGGCTCCTAGCTGCCTATGTGGCGATATTGCGGGTGCTGAGACCTAAGGTTATGGGACGTGACTGGTGTGGAGCCAGGAACTTGTAGCCCTGAACAACGGGCCCCAAGCTGGAAGGCTCTGCAACAGTAAAATGGGATGAGACCAGGGGGGAGCCTTGGACCAGACAGGGCCCACCTCTTCAGAAGCATGCCTTGCCCTCTGTGTGCAGCTTCCTCTACTAATTGTTGAGATAAATGTGTGGTAGGTGAGACTACTGAATAGGAGAGAGAGCAGACAGTATAGATGCTAATATAGGCCTCTAGAGGTGGGTACCCTGTAGCAGCACTCATAAGCCACCTACAATCAGTGTGTGTGTGTGTATATATATATATATATATATATATATATATATATATTCTACCACCACTGTCTTGGACACTGCTGACGTACTTAACACCTGCATTCAGTCACTGCTCAAAATTACCCACTCTCCAAAAGACTAATGGAAGCAAGGCCTGTGCTTCACTTTAACTCCTTCAAATATACATTTACATTAGACCTAAGAGGCATATCAAACTTGTAAATTATAGATGGGCAACTAGAGCCAAGTTGTACTACATAGTGCTTCAGATAAACACAAGTAACTTAATTTCAGGTGTTGCACAAGATTGGGATTAGAATGTGGCACAGGTAGACTTCATGTGAACAACAAAATAACTCTTCCTGCTCCTTCCCCCCCCGCCCCACCTTTCATTTCATCTCCTTGGGACTTGCTGTTTGTTAACAGCCATGTAAATAATTTTTTAATAGGCATGTTCAAATATCAGTATTTCAATGCAAACAATTTTTTTCTTCTGAGAGCCAGAATATCTGTTATGGTTTGCTATTCATTAATCTCCTGATTTTAAATGTTTGTCATCCAGTAGGAATCCAATACAGTATTGTGGGATGTAGGTAACCCATCACAACTAGAATGAATTAAGAGCTGACGGGAACTAATCATTTAAAAAATACACAGGCTGCAAGATATTTTTTCCAAACTATTCAATGAATCCTTATGAATAAAAAATATTTGCAAGAACCTGGGCCTCTCTGCAAATGCTTCCAAGCAGCAAAGAGCTACATTCCTTATTTAATTTATGAATGATAAATATTCAGTTCCAGTTGTGCAACCTAGGAATGAAGGCAAAAAATGTACAATGAAGTTTGAATTCATATTTACTCATGCTTAAGAGTATATGCTAGCCCTGGCCACTAATGGGATACAACTTTGTTTTAAAAAAAGCTATAATAGCAGCACTTGCCACATTGGGGTGTTGTGAGACTATTAATTTTCAGCACCTTGAGGTCTACACATGATGCCTCTGCATAACTATATACAAATGGATAATGATGTCTTGGACTAATTGTCCAAGTTAACAGAGCAAGATCCCACTTTAACACCACTATCTGGGGTATATGGGCACAGAGAGGTAAACCCATTTAGGCAAAGTATGGGGACAGAGTGGACAGGGGAGGTAGTAAATAATTATCTATGCAATTCAGTATATAAAAGGTAATAATTTTGCTGCTGGTATAAACCCACAAGGAGGAATAAGAGGAAGAACTTCACTGAGAGGTATCCTTCCCTGGGCTAATCCATCAGTGATGTATTTTAAGAACCATCCTTTGCCTGTGACTGCCTAAAGTAAAAAAATTAATCCCAGCTGTTGCACAGTTTCTGTTCTGATCTCTATAGCAAGGTCACATTCAAGGTTTTCTTCCTTAAAATAGAGATTCAACATCTTTATTTTGTTTCTTATATGGCGCTGAATTTTCTACCAGTTCTCCCTTGACTTGATTTGCTGTGATAGTGTGTTAGTACTAAGATCAATGATCAGTTTTAAATCTATAAATGCTACCATAATTCGGTTCCAAAGAGCAAAAAACAAAACAAAACCCCAACTAATGGCAGCGAGTTGATAGTGACATTTTATTTAATTCTGAATTCCCCAGTCAGATGAGGCACAGAGACTACATGCCTAAAGCACACTTATTCAGCTTACAATATTATTGGTGGGTATTTTATGCCTTTTTTAAAAACTGAGAGCGAGGAGTTCATTAAAGGATACATGCTATACCCACACAACCACTTGCTATGTCTATCTATTCTTACCGCTCGACACAGAGTAGAAGTCACTCCAGTGTAGAAGTCTGCATTGAGGTCAGGTGCAATTCACCAGTGAGCAGACGGCCACCTTGTCTCCCCCTTAGGTGAGTTTCATGCTTTATGCACCAACACTTGAACTTCCTTCCTCTCATCAGTCCTGGGCACAGACTGGCTAGATTTACCTAGTGTTTCTGTAACCTACCTCTGGTAAGATGCAGGCATGACCTCTGATGGCAGGTACTATCTGCAGCTAACGGGGCCTTGAATGAAGCATTCAAAGCCCCGAGTCTTCCCTCGCTTAGGCTGATCGAGTGCTGGGGTTGAAGATTCGACTCCTATTTGGCCTTCCCTACTGAAGCAGGCTTTGATGTGGTGCTGCCTCTTTCATGTCACAGCAGATCTCAACTTCCAAATTGTTGAGCCACTGTCTGGTATTACTGCTCAATGTGCAGCTTCCACCTGGGAAGATTGTAAGGACTGCAGCTTTCCATCAAGTGCTGTTTGCCGGACACCCCATCACACAGAGGGCTGCCCAAGATGTTCATCTTGTACAGTGTTGTTTTAAAGCATCCATCTCCAGATTTCAGTCTGTTCAGCTGGATCCACACTTCTCTGTCAAGATGGTGCCCAGTCTCTGGTGCTGGTATAAAACACCCAGCAGCTGGCCCACTCCAGTGCTGCCCACAGATTTGGTTTGGCACCCACAATCTCTTCCAGGAGCTTGCACGCTTCATATAGCTATGACTTCTTGAAGCCTTTTGGGTCTTCAGTGAACAGTGATGGAGCAGGTGATTTTCATCATGTCTCACTTTTATTGGCAGTCATGATGGGGTCTGCATTCACACTTGGTGTGATGCCCAGCGTCTGTGTAGGTTATGCAGTCCTTTTTTTTTTTTATTTGGATACTCTGCATAGGGGATGACTTTCTCTGCACCTGCCCTCCCCCCACCTGAGAGCACTGGGCCCGGAGAGAGCGGGGGATGTCTGGACCTGGGAGCAGAGCGAGCCTGAGGCTGAGGGGGGGCCTAAGGCAGCGTGGCGGGGAGGAAGGTTTCTGAAGGGCGGCGCTAGGACCCCACTCCCCGTGGGGCACGGACTGGCCCGGGCGGCACCTCCGCGCGGCTCCCCTAGAGGGCGGGCGCGGCCGGTCGCCGGCGCGGCTCCGCTCGGCTCCCCCCGCCCCCTCCCTGCCCCTGGCGCGGCCGGGCCGCCTGCTTTCTGCTGGACGGGGACGCAAGGCGACACCCATGAAGGAGAGAAGAGCGAGCCAGAAACTCTCGAGCAAGGCGGTCATGGATCCGAACCAGAACGTGAAGTGCAAGATCGTGGTGGTCGGCGACAGCCAGTGCGGCAAGACCGCCTTGCTCCACGTCTTCGCCAAGGACTGCTTCCCCGAGGTACGTCCCGGGCCGGGGCGCGCTGTCCGTCCTCTGCCCCAGCCGGCGCGCAGGGGTGCCGGGAGGCTGCCGGGCTCTTAGCCGGACCTGCCGCTGCTGCTGTGTCTAGCTCCTTACCGCCGGTAACCACCTCTCTCTCCTCTTTCCCCTCTCTGTTCCTCAGAACTACGTCCCGACCGTCTTTGAGAATTACACGGCCAGCTTTGAGATCGACACGCAAAGGATAGAGCTGAGTCTGTGGGACACTTCGGGTAAGAGCCGTGGCCCGCGGGGGCTTGTGTTCCCTCCGGGTCCTGTTCGGGACTCGCGTGGAGCTATTTCTAAGATCAGGGATTGCGGCCTCCCCGCCGCACCAGGAGCTTTTACTGAATCACTTATATCCTTTTACTGAATCACTTTTATATCCTTCCAGTGGAGATCACAGATGCTCCCTGATGTAAAAGTCACCTGTGATTAGGAGGTGACATTGTTTTAATGTGCCCCTGTTTCATTTAGTTTCTCTTCCTCCTTCTCTCTTTCTTTCTTTCTCTCCCTCCCCCTTTTCCCTTCTAAAAGTTCTTGTGGAGAGTAGCTCAGCAGATGGGAGGCTATTACTACTGCATATTGTGAGCCTTTCATCTTAATATTTGTCATCGCTGCTGTGAAAGCCAGCGTGGGCTCTCCTTGGGTAAAACATGATTATACAGAAACAAGCAGATTAATGCTCCTATGGACATCTGAGCTGGTTAGGGGCATCTGCCTCTCTGACCTGACTCTCTTTTTTTTGCTTACTAAGGGCTCAGTCCCATAAACCCCCGTGCATGCACACTTGGTTATCCCTTGGGCAAGCCCAGGCAAGTCTGACTTCAGCGAGACGACTACTTGAGTGAGTAAAGGGACCTAGGTGCATAACTGTTAACAGCCCAGTGCTCCAAAATGGCAAAAAAGAAGGCTTTCACAACACTATAACAAGTATTTGGTGAGGAAGGTAATATAAGAACAGGAAATCTATGGTATGTACGATGCCCAAATTGAAGTGGGTGCAGCCAGAGTTACAAATGCAGGGGCTGCAAATGGTCCTGTGCCAGGTCATTTCCCAACTCCTTAGCCTGAAATTGATGCACTTGCCCCTCACTGAACATTTTTCTTCTAACTCTTGGTTTCCCCACTCTCCCACCATGTACAGACTGATCAACACTGGCCATTCCCTTTCTTTGCCCCTCTACCCCCACCTCTCCCTGGCCAGCCTGCACAGAGGAAGCCCTGCCTACAGCTCACTTTCTTCCATCTCCACTGCAGGGGTGTTGAGGGCAGGGCTGCAAGTTGGTGCCAGTGTTTTCCTGTGGATTCCAGCCCTGTCCCTGAGACGTTGCAGCTTCATGTGCCCTAAGTGGATACCACTGGGGGTGGGGGGGAGGCTTTTTGGAGGAAACGCCTTTTTGTGGGAGAGAGAGGCCTTGGCAGAAAAAAGTCAAACTGGAGACTATGGAAAAGGACAGCCTTCTAGAGGCAGGAGATGCTGTACAGAATGCTCTTCCTAAGGGACCAGCTTGAGGAAATCGGAAAACAAGGGGATACCCTGCATGAAAGGGACATGTGCTTTGAAAGACAAAGTAGTAGTATGAAAATGAGTGACTTCATAGCCTGATTTCCCTAGTACTTGTGAGGAAGTGCACTGTACAGAGAGCTCCTGTAGGACTTCTGGAAAGGGAAAGCAGAGTTCCTGAGGTAGGGAAAAATCTTGGAGGGCAGGAGGTTGAATGGGAAGTGCCCAAGCTTTAGAAAGGAGAACAAAGGAATGTGGAGTGCACACCTTGATGGGAGGAAGACAAGGGTGTAGAGAGCATCAGAAGGCAATAAAGACGACTGAACATGGCAGTTGGCATGCAGCGAGACAACAGAATGTGGAAAGGGAACAGACCACCCAGTGTGTGAGGGGAACACTCGAGTCTGAGCAGGAAATGGAGCCCCCGTAGGGCAGGGGAATCTGAGGAAACAATTCCATATTGCTTTCCACTTCATAGCATGGGGAACAAAGCTTCCTTCTAGCATAGGCCTTGCCTAGCTTTATCAGAAGCAGATGAAAAACCATGTAGTCCAGTCACTTTTTGGCTCTGCAGTAATTTTCCCAGGATCCTAGAGACTTTTCATAAGAGCATTAAGTGCCAAAGTTAGTGGCTGTTTGTATTGGTGCATAAGACTAGAATCAGGAAGGGAGTTGGGAAGATAAATCATTGTCTGATGAGCCATTGTTATCTTGTGAAGCAGCAGGCCATATGGGATTCTTGATGGAATCCGCTGTAACTAGATAGGAACTAAAAATTCCCAAGTGCCCTGATGACCCTGAAGAACACATTATTTCTATTAGCACAACTAGAGTGTTTGTTTCCAGATGTGAATGGCAGCTGTCCTGGACCAGCAGCTGCATCTGGTTTTAATTCTTTTATCTACAGAGGGATATTTTACTTAGCCACTTGCTCTATGTGATGTGATGAAGGGTGGAGACGAAACCCCCATTTAATAAGGAGATTGTGTATATTACAGTGGAAGGAGAAAAGGCATGACTTCAGGAGGAAAACCCAGCATATGGCTTGTCATGAGAGAGAGAGGGTCATCTCTAAGAGGCCTGTATGCTGATGTCAGGACTACATGGCCATCATCCTGGCTGTGCAACTCCAACTCCTGTGAAAAGCCAAGGAGAAATAGATAAATTGCATCTACATGGGTGTTAATAGTAGATGAAGCCAGCTGATGAACATTCCTCTTGGAGTGCCTTGCAGAAGGTTCTCTCTTTACATCAAACTGTTGTCCAAATGCAGGACTTCCCTGGCTCTGAAAGGTGCTAGAGTATTAACAGGTAGAGCTCTAATGGTGAGCTGCCACTGACCTCAGGAGGTGGCAGAGGGAATAATCTCTCCTCTCGGCTCTAAGTACTGCAACCAGAAAAGTGGCCACTTCTTCCACCCTCGCCCAATCCTTCCCACTCCTGTTTCAGGAAAAAAAAATACTGACTTGGATGCCTGGTGGTGGATCCAATTTCAAAGGCCAATTGAAATGTTAGCTAATGGTCAGTGATTCAGATCTACAATGTGGTGGTGGTGATTTGAGGGGGGGCCTGGATTCTCAAACTACCAGCAAAGCCGGTCAGTCTCACTTTTTAGATCAGCCACTTCCCAGCATTTATGCCCTACTGTACCTGCTTATCAGACTGAGAACTCGGCTCTGTGCTGGACTTGATTCAACTATATTCAGTATCGTTCTTTATGTCACTTAGAAGTTGTGGAGAGAGACTGGAACTGGGAACAGCCTACAATCTGTTACCAATTTGAGATGAGCTGAATGAGAGGTAGTCATATAATCCAAGAGTGGGAGAGTTGAAGTGGCAGTATCAGTAGCTGTTGGAGCATGAGTGTCTGGAAACCAAGGCATTAAACTGATCCCTAACAAGAAAGCTGAACAGCCTCTCTGCTCCTCCATTTTCTTGCTTGGTTCATATCTTATGCTGATCTTGATGAACACAGTTGTTTCTCCAAGGGGGAGATGTGGGGGAGGGTGGTGATTTGGATACCAAAGGTAAATTTAGGAAGATTATTTTGTTAAAAACATGGGAAGCTTTTAGATGCTGATTTTTGGTTTTCCTTATTGTGGCTGATTTAGCAGTAAGTGATCTCAAATTATTGGAATGCTATGACAAAGCAGGTAGCTTCATCACCCAGGCTAAATAGTAGCGTGTTTTCAAAAAGCAAAATAGCTTTTCAAACTTCCAAAGTCTAAATTAGCATTCCATCAGTGTAATAAAGCATGATGACTCGTTTGGTTTTTTTTTTTTTTTTTTTTTGTTCATCTTCTCTACTGCTTCAAAGATTTAAAAAAAATGACTCGCTTAATAAAAACTCTACAAAAATGCACTAAACTTCTAGAAAATTAACAGTTAATAAATTTACTCCAAAATGTACATGTCTGTTTTGGATTCATGAAATTGTGATCCCATCACAAGTCAAAGTCTCTGATATGTAAACATCTTAAATTGGCCTGGAAAAGTAGGCCAGACATGCTTAGGTAGTGGAATATTTTGCCTCTTTTTCTGAAAGAGAAGAAATAGTTTAATAGGAATATACATCTTAACTGCTTCCTGTTTGAGGCCTGATCATGAAGCTAATAGCAGATTTTTTTTTCCCCTGAGTTAGTTCAGGATCAGCCTGTTAATTTTTTAACAATTTAAAACTAAAACCATCCAAGATGTATATACAAAACCAAACATTTGATCTTTGTAGTTCACAGGTGCCATATAATCAATCCAGTGCCTTGGGCAGTTTACAGATTAAAAAAATGTCACACTGCAAACAACAGTAGTTCACACAGACTGCTAGACTGAAAAACCCCTGCCATTTAAAATCAAATCACTGGCCAATGAGATCAGTCTCCAGTATTTATTATTTGTTACTCTTAAACTGCCTGTGTGGTTTTTCTTATAAAAATGCAAACATTATGCATCAAGCTGGCAAGCATGATTAACACCTGTGATCAATTAAAGTTAGTGGTATTCTTGTCCTGAGTTGAAGAGCAAGATAGTGCCATCGTGGAGCCTAATTCGTCTTCCGAGGTGACTGGCCAGGAGCCCAGGTATACATTGGAAAAAAATAAAATAAAATCAACCCTGCATAATGTTGAGATCAGACCTTAACAGTGGAATCAGTCTTGGTTATACCTGACTCTGCAGTGCATGCTAGTAAAATGTGGGTCCAGAGTAGCATCATATAACTACAAAACATTTGAGTGAGGATGCCACAACTTAGCATCTCTTTTATAAAGCGCTTTACAACCAGTTTATTGGGTTGGGAACTTTTGTGTATTTCAGGGTCATTAAAACCCAAATAAATAGAGGATGATAGTGTATGTTTATAAAGGTGAGTGGGATGGGAAGATTAATTAGCCAAATACTTTCTGGTTCATTCTTAATCTTTCAAAAGATTAAAATTACACAATATAAAAATCTTGGCAAGATAAGATTTAGTCAATTTAGAACTACAAGCACTTTTTTTTTTTTTTTTTAAGTAGGGTGTCTGGTAGCAATAGCATTATACTGTTAAGTGTTCCAGTCTGTAGTAATAGTGTATAGTTAAGCATCAGTATGTTCACTTTGTTAGAAAGACTTCTTCATTGGCTATTCAAAGAACCTCCAAAGTCTTATTTTATGGAAACTATGAAGATTATTTACTGGTTGCCATTTTTCTTCAGACTGGTTTTTTTTTTTTTTTTTTCTTTTAATTGA